AGGCAAGAGAATCATTTGAGCCCAATAGTTTGAGGTTGCTGTGAGTTTATGATGCCACAGCACTCTACCCAGGGTGACAAAGAGATACTCTGTCTCAAAAAAACAAAATTATTTTCCATCTGTCCTGACAACCTAAATCTTCATAACTAGGTTAATTTGAACCTTCAAACTACTGGGGAATATCTAGGTAAAGTATGATTCAGCGCAAAGATAAAACCACCCTATTGTTCCAATGTCAGCAGTTCCACAAAGTAAGATCATGAGTGGAGCTGCTGTCATGCTTGTGCGTGTTTGACGCAGCTGTTTTATTCACTGTTTATCTCAAACTCCTTATCAGCATTTCTAATATCTGCAGCTGCAGTATTTCCTGGCAACGCTTCCCCTACCCTTGGAAAACATTTTTTTCTTCAACCTTTACCCATACTTTTTTTTAACGGAAGGGTTTCGATGAGCTCCTTTGTCTTAATAATGACAAAAGGAGAACGGTATTTGTTGTTGACAGTAGAAGGGGAGGAACTTGCTTCTTTCACTTTTATTGCTATGTAATGTAACAAACAAGACAGAAGAGTGCCCAGGACACAAATGCCCAGTCTCATGAGTGATTACAGACTGAAACCTGTCTGTCCACCCCTGAGCTCATGCAGTGGAAACTTGCCAGCGCCCACAAATCCCCACCCCATGCCCCCATCCACGTACACCCAAAGTCCTGCCTGCCCCTCTAAAGACAGCTGCTATTCTGTCCTTTGTGATAATATCCTTACTTTTCTTCATGGTTTTACTACCTTTGTATATGGGGATATATGCATCTCACCCCAAAATGCAGTTCAGTTTTGCCTGGTTTGAACTTCATGTGAGTCAGTCGTGCCAGAAGCGTGTGCTTAGCCCTGCTTCTTGTGCTCAGCACGTCGCTGGGGTGGCAGCTACAGTTCCCATCTTCATTCCATGTTGCATTGTGTTGTGTGTTTATTTTTGAGGTGCACAACAGCTTATCATTCACTTTACTATTTACTGGTGAAACTGGAGTTGTTCCCGGAACATGGCTACTATGAACAGTGTGCTCTGAACATTTTTGTGCAGATGCAAGAGTGCATGAGCTGCTCGGGGGTTGTTTTTCAAAGTGTTAGTCCCAGTTTAGATTCCCACCAGCAACACGTGAGAGTTCCCCGCACCACTTCTACCCAGTGGGTGGTACCCAGAGGATGTGGGCCTCAGAGCAGCACAGTGGGTGGCCCCTTCATGAGCCCCTTGGAACACTGTTAGAGAAGCTTTGCAGTTGAATTTTGGTGACGCTCGGCAAAGGGGGGTGGCCCTGGTGTCCCTCTCAAGGGGCAGGTGCTACTAACCCACACTTGGGATTGTCAGATTTTAAAAATTCTATCAAATTCTGCTGTGGTTTCTCCTTACGGCTTTATTCGCATTTCTGTGATTACTAAAATGACCGAGTACCCATGTATGTTAGTCATTTGGATTTCTTCTTTTTGAAATGCCTATGCAAGCCTTTGCCTAAGGTTTTTATCTTTCTTATTGATTTGTAGAAATATTTTACGTGTCCTGGATGCTGGTTACCAGTTATACGTGTCACAGAATGCATTGTCTTGCTGTATTTTGTCACAGACTTACTCATACAATGAAATCTTCTTGATTTGAATGTAGTATTAAAGGACTTTTGTTGGTGGAATTTCCTTCAAGATAACATGCTGTATAGAAAATGCTCTATTGCTTGTAATTATAAATTTAGATGGCAAATCAATTTGGTATATTCATGATTCAGTTATTTGGGGTAGGTTGTGGCTTTTGAAAAGGCCTTCGGGTGTTTTCTTTCTTTCTTTTTTTTTTTTTTTTTTTT